ATGCATCCATCCATATTTCTTACCAAAGAAAAAATAAAACACAACCCTTCCTTTATATTAATCCTTCCATTTCCCAAGAATCAATCNGGAACTCCTCCGGCTCAGGACCCGCCGGAGCCCGCCAAGCCGGCCAAAACCCCCGGGCAGAAGGCCGTCCGCAAGGCCTTCAAGGGCACGGCCCACCTCGCCAACCTTCTTCCCACGGGCTCCGTCCTGGCCTTCCAGGTCGTCTCCCCCGTCGTCACCAACGACGGCCGGTGCCGTTCTCCGGTCAGCCGCGCCGCCACCGCCGGCCTCCTCGCCCTGTGCGCCGCCTCCTGCTTCCTCCTCAGCTTCACGGACAGCTTCCGGGACGAGCGGGGGAAGGTCCGGTACGGGGTGGCCACGCTCCGGGGGATATGGGTCGTCGACGGCGGGTCTCAGCCGCCGGAGACGGAGAGGTTCCGGCTGAGGTTTGTGGACGTGTTCCACGCGGTGGTGTCTGTGATGGTGTTTGGGTCGGTGGCGCTGTTCGACGGGAATGTGGTGGGGTGCTTCTGGCCGTCGCCGTCGGAGGAGACGTTGGAGGTGCTGAGGGCGGCGCCGGTGACGGTGGGGGTGGTTTGCAGCCTGCTGTTCGTGATGTTCCCCACGCGCCGGCACGGGATCGGGTTCCCTTTATCCCGCCGTTAGAAAGACGATAATGTTAATTAGTTGATTAACTAATTAATTAATTAATGTTATTTACTTTCTTTTCTGCCGTCTTTTTTTAATCGATTTTCACGGGGTTTGATGCGTTTTTTGTTTTTGGGGGGGTGTTTGAGAATCGAATACACAATGGGTTTTCCATTCTCTCTTTCTATAATTCAATCTCTCTCTCTTTTTTTTCGTTAATCACTTAGTTAAAATAATATTAATTTGCATAATGGAAACTTGAAAAAGAAAGGAAGGGAAAGAAGAAAACAGGTATTCATATTTATTATAACATGCATATGAATGAAAGTTACAAACACCTCACAAATTTGGGTCTATGCAAAACCTAGAATAATACATATTGTCAAAAATTCTATGAAGCCATCGGATGGTTCTCTTATGGAGTCATTCACCACTTAATGTATTGACACATGTTCAAAGTGTATTTATTGCAGGACACGTGTCAATACACTATTGGTGAATAAGTGTGGATGACTCCATAAATTGAACCATCCAATGTTTCCATAGCAAAACTGTACAAATTGTAGAATGAAAAATCTTGTGGGTAAGGTCTATTAGCCTGTTTATCATTGATTGGATTGGTAAAAAAATAGTTGAGCTTGAGGTGGGAAACAACTAATTAAAAACATTAATCTTATTATTAGTTATGCTCAACTTTTAAATAATCATATTTTTTCAATAAGTGAGTATACTTACAAATTGATTTTTCGTACTCTAAAAACAAAATATATAAAAAAAAGTATGTCATTTCATAGCATAAGATACACATTTTTTCAAATATATAATAGATCATTCCACTTAATAATTATACCGCTTCATACACAAATTTACACAAATTTGCGAGTTGAAAAGACATACAAAATAAAGAGTAACAACTGTCACTACAAAAATATAATATTTCAGTACGAAAATATTCATCATAATTTTTTTTTCATCATTACAAGCATGTAGTGACGAAATTTTACTGTCGCAACTTTGAACTTATCGTTAATAAATACAAAATTGTGTCAAAAGTCGTCATGTAATTTGTAATTATGTGATGAAAATTAACAATTTCATAAATATGGTTTCTAGTGACAAAAATAAAATTTATCAATGTTTATTATTAAATGTAACAAATTCGTCATAGTACATTTGTGACGAAATTTAAGAGTGTCGTTAATAAGGTATTTTTTAAGTGTTGACAACAAATTTTATAATAACAATTATGAGAATGTAAGAAAATATTACTCATCATGAAAAATATTTGACGTAAAATATGTAATTTACTAACAACAATAAATAGATGTCATAAATAGAATATTTTTCAATGACAAAAATAAAAATTATCATTATTGCATACCAAATTGAGACAAATTATTTTTTATCACACAAAATTGTCATAAAAAGCCTGATTTAATGACAACAGTAATTGTTGTTAGGAAAAAAAATATTTGTGTCAAAAATAAAATTCGTCATTTTTACTTCACATGACAAAGTTTGGTTCATAGAAAAAAAAATCACAAAATATAGAAATTCTTGTAGTGTCCATCAGCAATGTTTTTGGCATGTCTCCACTTAGGTGATCATATTTTATATTTTTTGCAATAACTTTGCACATGTGAGTTAAAATTAACCGGTCATACTTTATTAGGAAGATGAAATAAAGCCAAAACATCTATAAGCCAGNTTAGAAAAGAGCCTATACATCCTCGACAAATCCTCTACCTAACGCATAAATAATTAATAAAGTTTAGATTTATGAAAAAAAAAAAAAAAAAAAAAAAAAAAGAAGAAAAAGAAAAAGGATTTTGTGTGATGTATAAACATCTACCAAACATGGGATATATATCTGCCTTTTGGTTAGTCTTTGATCATTCACTTTGGTTGCTTTGGTTAGTTAATTTGCACCCACATTTCATGGTAGGTTAGGTCGGGCTGACAATTTTCAGGCCCAAGTTAAATGGTAGCCCATCGTACTCGAAAGCAATTTTAATTTTAAAAAATTTCATTACATATAATTTATGAGACATGAGAATTTTAACACCATGAAAATTAGAGTTGTTACTTGGTAGACAGAACGAGTTACTCATATACTCACCTTGATTTGGTTCATTAAAACTTGAGTTTGACTTAACTCGTTTGACAAAATGCTAAGCTCAACCTCATTTAGTTCATGTCGAGCCGAGATCCGTGAATAAATTTTTTTTATATAATTTTCTAAAATTTTACTTTCTCCTATTCATAATAAGTGTCGTTTTAAAAAGTTGCACAATAATTGAAAATATTTTTTTTGCCAAAATAACCTTCTTAAACGAAGATAGAGAATAATGCTTTGGGAAAAAATGAAGAGTGAATATAAAAAGACGTGGTGTATTTATTAGCTAAATGAGGGTAATAATGGAAAAATATGTACAAAAGATCTAAAACGACATTTATTTTGTTAATAGTTAATAAAATTAAAATGATATTTAAAAGGGAATAAGAGGTAGTAATTGATTTAATATTTGATTAAAAAAACGAATTTCGAGCTCAGATGGTTGACAATTCCAATGGTAATACATTAAGGTAAAGATATTTTAAAAAGGCATAAATAGGAACTTTAATTGTTATTGAATAAAATTTTAAGCATCTATACTTATATTAAAAGGTATACCATTTACCAGATTTAGTATAAAGAAAAGTCAACAACATTTATTGCATTACTATTTCTGTATCATACAATTTATACTTGAGATTCTATTTACTACATTTACTATCCAGAAAAGTCAACTGCATTAAATGCCATTACTATTTTGGTATTATAATATTTTATTTATTTAATTGATTTATTTATTTGTTTTAATTTAAAAAGGTAAGTATAATAAAAATATTTTAATAATAAAAAAATCAAATACCAAATAAAAATGTACACTTTGACTTATTTGATTATATTTGGTATTTGATTATACCAAATATATTCCTATTTAGTATATACATTAAATAATTACTAAAGTATTTATTTATTTTATTTGTCAAAGTTAAGTATAGATTTGTTTATACTATCAAATCATAAAAAAATATTAAATCCATATTGTAAAAAAAAAAATCATATAATTTTATTACAATTCTACTACACTATTTAACAATATTTCTTTTTTATTATATAATAAAATAATAATTAAATATTATATGGTGAACAACAATAAGTGAAACTGTTACTTTCTCTTATATCTATGGATAAATTTATATCCTAAAATTAAATTTGTATTAGTATAAATGTTTTAGTGAGATAATATATTAATTATTTTACAAGCTTGCCCTAACATGCTCATATTTAATGTATTAAAAAATGTAGAAAAAAAACTTATAATAACTCTATTGTTTTTTAGACTTAAACGTTGATTAAAAGAGGTAAAAATTCCTATTTTTTTAGACTTAAACGTTGATTAACACCATAAATTGAGAGTTTATATTTAGTAAAATTCTTAATTGTAATAAAAAATTAATTTTTGCTATATTTTAGAATATCTTTAAATTCATTATAAAAAAAAAAAGAAAAAAAACTACAATGAAAAAAACAAGTCAGCTATATATCGATTTGTTGTACTCCTCAAATCACATTCACAATTTGGCTACAAAGAAAGGAAGCTCATTAATTAAATATTATTTTGTCAGTAGTCTTAATGTACAAGAAACTTTAAAACTCCACTTGAATATTATAAAACTTTTATTGAACATTGTACAATTTTCTTGCGTATTATAAACTTTTATTGAATCTTGCATCTTATAATATAATATTTTTCAAATAAATATATCTCGTGCTTCGCGATCACGTACTATATATATCCCGTACATTTTTCTTTGTTCATGTATATAATTATAAGCCTGAATAAATAGCCTTAAAATTGTGCCCCGTGTATCGCACGGAGTAGGATGTGAACTGTGATACAGATTATTTATGACGTGATAGAAACCGTTCCCAAACTCAACTCACAAGTCAAAACTCCCAACTCCCAAGCACAAATGTTCTTTTTTCCCGCAATGAACTGGTGGGACCCACCACTCGACATTTACCATTTACAGATAAAAAATGTACTATTAGAATTGGAACCACATCCATCTCCCACAGTAGCGCGTCTCTTGCAACCGCCACCACCCATTGCCACACACGCCGTAAAATTATCCGCGTGTGGAACAAACTCGCCAATCGCGTCGCAGCAACCAAAAACGCCCAAACAACCCGACCCGAAACAATCAATACCCTCACAACCGGATCCGACAAACCGAAAAACACAGGAAAAAATGATAATGATACTCATACAACAGAGAAAAAGGGTGAGTCGATAGAGAGAGCAAGTGAGAGAAAACCCGAAACCACAAATCCAAAAAATTCATATGTGAATCAAAAACGCCCCAATATTCAACACCCACTATTCTAACATTCTTTTATAGTTTTTCCTTTTTTTACAGCATCATATTCGATAAATCACAAGACCCAGAATTTTTCCACAACAAAAAACAAACCGAAATAAAGAAAAGAAGTGATGGGTGGGATTAGAAAGACAAAGGGGAATTATTGTTTTGTTTTTGGGTTTTGTGGGTTTACATTATTTCAAGTCTTTGAATTCTCTGTTGTTATTATCCTTTTTCTTCCCTTTTATCCTCACTGCACAAAAGAAAAACAAGACAATCACAACTTTAATACGAGTAATTATTAATTTTTGTACAACTACTCGCAGTAGCATTACTGTTTAGCCATTTTTATATATTCTTTTTCGTATTTTGTTTTCTTGGTTCGCGAGTGTAAGTTTGAGTAGCAGCAAATTTAATTGTATTTTATTGTGGGTATTAAAATCACAAATCTTCACCGCACATCTTTTGTCAAAGTTGAGTTTTTTTGGGTATGTACCAATAGCCAATAGATTATCTTGAGCGGCCGTGAAGGGTTTTGCTCATTCTACACTCTTCTTATTTATTTATTTATTTTTTTGTTTGTGGAGAGAAAATGGGTATAGGAATTTCCTTAGTTGAATTGAATTCGAAAGCCCTAAGCTTTTAGGGCGTGGGTTGTGAAATTCATACTTCTGTTGTTCAATGGGAGGATGCGTTGTGAGGGGTTGATCTATTTGAGCTAAAAAATTTTGTTGGGTTGATTTATTTGATCTGTTTTAGAATATAGTGAAGTTGGGCTTTTGTGATTTTGGAGTAAGATGGAGACTGATGAAGGAGGTGAGAGAGGCGGAGGAGGAGATGGTGGTGTAAGTGGGGTGGCCGAGAAGAACTCGCCGGAGGCTGAACCTAAGGTGAAGCGGAAAATGAAGACTCCTTCTCAGCTGGAAATTTTAGAGAAAACTTATGCCAGTGAGTCTTATTTATTTTCCTGTTTATATTTCAAAATTAGAAGTCTTAATTACAATTATTATTATTATTATTATGCTGTAATTTTCTCTATTTTTGGATATGATTTATGTATTAATATGTTAATATTACGTTGAGCTATTTTATAGTTGAATTTGGTGGAAATGCCTGGCCGTTATTGTCCTTGTGTGTTGAGACAGCCTTAGAATCTCAAAATATTAAGATATATTTTTTTCTCTCTAATGCTTGGCTTGATCATACATATTGTGACTACTTAATTCATGATTTGATCGAAACGCTGGATGAATAGTGATTGCAGTCGAGGCATACCCTTCGGAGGCCCTGAGAGCCGAGCTTTCGGTCAAATTAGGCCTTACTGATCGGCAGCTTCAAATGTGGTTCTGTCATCGGAGGTTAAAGGACCGAAAGGCCCCCCAAGAGAAGAAGCTAAAAAAGAGTGCCTCGTCATCCGCAGCTGCGGGGTCCCCCAGTGGGACTGCGCACAGAATAGTGGTCAAGAATGCTGATGTGGCGCCAGGCGGGCCAGGTGGGCCGGGCTTAGATCTCTACTGGAATACGAATATGCAGCACCAGCAGCAAACAAGAGTAGCTCATAAAGTGGGGACAGCTGTGCCTAGGATATCAATGGAGTCACTGCCCACAAGGAGATTCTATGAGCCGCCTTTAGCCGTATCAGAACAGAGAGCGATTAAGTTTGTGGAGGCCCAGTTGGGAGAGCCATTGAGAGAGGATGGGCCAATATTGGGGATGGAGTTTGACCCGTTGCCACCTGGCGCATTTGGTGCACCTATTGGTACATCTCTTTCTGGATGCCTTTCGTCAGTAGTATTTGGGTTTTAAATCTTGATAAGCTACTTTGGCTGGTGTTAGTTTGATGTTTTGAGCTTGAATATGTTTTTTGAATGGTAATATATGATTATCCAGTTTAGTGAGTGAGTCCTATGTTTTACATCCCTAGCCCAGAGTCGATTTTGATGGCGCACTTAACTACGCTCATAATAGTTTTGCTCAT